AGGCCAAGCACCGAAGAATAGATTCTTTTGAACTATGGTGCTGGAGAAGATTCTTGAGAGTCCCTTGGACTGCAAGAAGATCAAATCAGTCAATCCTAAAAGAAATCAACCCTGCCTGTTCCCTGGAAGGCCAGATAATGAAACTGAAGCTCAAATACTTTGGCCACCAAATGAGAAGGGAGCACTCCCTGGAGAAGACCCTGATGCTGGGAAAGATTGAAGGTCAAAGAAGATGGGAACGGCAAAGAATGAGATGGTTAGACAGTGTCATAGATGCAACGAACATGAAATTGAGCCAACTTCAGAGGACGGCGGAAGACAGGAGGGCCTGGCGGGATCTGGTCCATGGGGTCGCAAAGAGTCGGACTCGACTGTGCGACTGAATAACAACAAAGATGCCACTGGACTGCTTTGGATTGGTAGACATTGGGGTTGCACCTGAATAAAAACCTGGTCTTACAGTTGCCACCGAACTGCTTTGGATTGGTAGACATGGGGGGGGGGAGAAGATGCAGATTCTCTCTCACAGAGGAGGGACAGCTTGCACCTGAATAAAAACCTGGTCTTAAAGATGCCACTGGACTACTTTGGATTGGTAGACATGGTGGGTAGACACTTCTGTCAAAATCCCTGGTTGTGCTAGCATGGAGCAGCCTTTTAACCGGGGAGATGTGGATTGGTGGCTGCGGTCGCGCAGAGAGGGGGTTGGGGAGGGCTGTGGAGGGCTTTGTAGAGCTCCGCAGGGCAGCACGAGCCTGCAGAGTTTGGGTTGGGGAAGGCTGGGGTAGGGCTCCACAGGGCCCCGCGGGCTTGCAGAGAGGAAGTTGCGGAAGGCTGGGGAGGGGTCCGCAGGGTCCCGCACAACAGTGTGGGCTTGCAGAGCGGGGGTTCAGGAGGGCTGCAGAGGGCTCTGGAGGACCCTCGCAGCAGCGCGGGCCTGCAGAGAGGAAGTTGGGGAAGGCGGGGAGGGGTCCGCAGGGCCACACGCAGTAGCGCAGGCCTGCAGAGAGGGGGTGGTGAAGGTCGGGGAGGGCTTTGTAGGGCCCTGCGCGGAAGCACGGGCCTGCAGAGTGGGTGGGAAAGGCTGGGGAGGCCTCCGTAGGGCCCCGCGCAGTAGCGCGGGCCTGCAGAGAGGGGATGGGGAAGGTTGGGGAGGGTCCTGCAGGGCCGCGTGCAGCAGCGCGGGCCTGCAGAGAGGGGGTGGGCCTGCAGAGAGTGAGTTGGGGGGGCTGGGGAAGAGATGCGGAACTTACCTTCCTTCCTTCTCTCTCCTCTCGGCCCGACTGAGGGGAGGGCTGCTGGGAGCAGGGGGTGGGGCTTGCTACATGTCCCCGCCCCCTCACCTCCTCTCTCCCAGTGCATCATTCCAGTGAGCTCCAGCCCCAACCGAGGCCTGGTTTTAACTACAACTATGTTTTAATGAATTATCTGCTTTTATGTAAGCCGCCCTGAGCCAGCTTTGGCCAGGAGGGTGGGATAAAAACCTGAAAAATAAATAAATAAATACTTTGGCCACCAAATGAGAGGGGAGCACTCACTGGAGAAGACCCTGATGCTGGGAATGATTGAAGGTAACAGAAGAAGAGGACAGCAAAGGATGAGTTGGTTAGACAGAGTTTTTGATGCAACGAACATGAAATTGAGCAAACTCCGGTGGATGATGGAAGACAGGAGGGCCTGGCGTGATGTGGTCCATGGGGTCACGAAAAGTCGGACTCGACTGTGCAACTGAACAACAACAGTCCCAATGACTACACATTTCTGAAATGGAACATTTTTATGATTTGGTTTGAATCTAAATTCTACCTCATAATAGCAGATAGTATTCTAGCAAACAGCCAAACTGCACATGATAAAATTCCATATTTCTGACTTCACACACTAATGACTCTTTGGATGGTTTTAGCTGTGTTAATCAGCAACATATATTAGCAGATGCAAGCTGTATTTATTAGCTGTAGAATTGGGTGCTTGAAAAGATAAGAAAAACAGTATTTCAAAAGCAGTTACAAAGAAAACACTTTACTATGTTCTTCTGCATTACTTTATGTTTGAGTTACATATTTACTTGTATACTTACAACATGACTGTAAATTCACCTTTTTTTCCAAAAGTTTTTTTATAACTGCCAAATATATGAGAAATTAAACTGCTGTTCTTACCTCTACCTTTGTTCGATAAAGAATTAGACGTTTAAGGTTGTACAATTTGGCGATGTGGATGAAAGCTGGAGGTGGTAGCTTATCACAGGAGGAAAGATTTAATTCCTGAAGATTTTGACATGTCTCAGCAATAATGTCCAAGCAAGTCTCATTGAGGAAATGGCCACAGGACAGCTCCAGACGTAGTAGCTCTGAACCACAAACTTTCAGAAACCTGAAAAGGTATATTTGCATGTGAATTAAGTCAGTAGGAAAGGAAACACCAATTTCCCACAAAAACTGTTTAGAAACTTATTTCCCTTTCATATTTTTAACAGCTATCTGGCAAAGTAATGTAAAGTTCATGTGACATACTAGCAGAACAATTACTATTAGCCAATTAATAGAATAGCATTATTAGCATTAAAAACAAAGAACAAAGTGGGCCTAGGAAGCAGCATATGTAGCCAATTTTTCCCTTTTCACAGTTGCAAGCCACACAAACATGTTATTACTACTAACTTTGTCAATTTCACACATTATAAAATTTGAATACAGGAATGCTATACAGTGTGTAAATGCAGGGAATCCAATAGATTTTCCTGTTGCACGTACACAATGAAAAACTAACATGTGTAATCATCACTTCTTGTGATCTACCCTTCAGTTTCATGGTAATTGCTATACTAAAATGCCTTCTTGTAGGAATTTTCTTCCTTATGAAGCAGTTCTCAGTAACAGGCTGAGATGTCTCCTTGAGGCTCCTCACATGTCCTCATAGCATGAGGTACATTTTAAAATCTTCTCTTCCAATAACCTGTAGTCATTTCTGAACACATATTAATTTTCTCTTTATCAGAAGAACAATCCTCTAAAGAATGTGAGCATAATTTTTTTAAACAATTACCAGTTTCAATTCAGATGTAAAACTGAAATTTTGAAGAACCCTATTATAAATGAAGCACCATGGAAGTGCCAAAAATAAAACAAGGGGGTATACCCCTATTTTGTAGCATTTTTATTAATCCACCAAGGAAAAGGTTAGAGTTTTTGTACAAATCAGTTGCCAAACATTCAACAGCGCAAGAAGCAGGGTCCAAACCTTGCTGCAGCTTCTGTAGAAATTCTCTTCCCCACTTAGAGGTGCAAGGTCTGGTACTGCAAGAGTGGTGTTTGCCACTCAGAAAAGTGGGAGGCTACTGCTACAATGCAGGAAAGGAGCCGATCAAAGTATTGATTTGTCAGCAGGAGTGAGAATAAGCAGATCTGCACTATGATAATGAAGGCAGTGAAAAGAGGTGTGATGTGGCTAAAGAAAGGATGGACATAATGCGCCACAAGGGGGAAAAAACTTGTGCAGTCTCCAGAACAATCTGTGCAACAATATAGGCAAAGAAAAAGGCATAAAAACAGATTGTCTTTGCGAGAGATTAGAAGTGCATTCCTCAATGACAGGGGTTATTGTCAGGAATGAAGCATAAAGGCCAGGGCCTAGAATGTCTTATTGTGGGGCCATGCCAAGTAGTCCAGACCTCCAGTCAGAATACTAGGGAATTGGTGTCTGCTAATTAGTAAAGAGGCTCCTTTGGCTCTGTGGAGCATTTGCACTAAAACCAGAGACAAAGTAAATATGTCCATCATGTCAAGGTACAAGCAATGTCAAGACAATTAATATTGCAGAACACCAGGAGTTACTGGGAAACACATGCCCACAGTAAGGTTCCCACACAGTGAAGGAGACATTGGAGATGGCACTACTTCCAGAAGATCATAGGCAAAAGAAATGTTGTGAGAGAAATAACCATGCTGAGACCACATGTGTGATGCATATTAGGTCTGTCTCAGAAAAAATGAAACCCAAGTCTGAGCATCTCAGGAAGGGTAAAAGACACAGCAAAACAACAGTTTTGTTTACGGTGTCACATACAGATGTGTAAAAATGCCAGGAAACGCAGGAGTGGAAGCTGAACAGCGCTGACAATCTCAGTAAAATGGGAGGGGGGGAGATTCAGGCAGGTTGCTTTGAAAAGGATCAATAAAGACCTGTCAAAGCAGCAAGGAAAATTTAATATAGGAGCCTCACATAGGCCACACTAATCTCTGTGCACATTGAGAGGCAGCTAAGCATGAACCCAATGAAGGGGAACATTGGAATGCCACCACTGGAAGCTTCCCTCCTCAACAAGAGAGGAACTATCTGCAGGAACAGTAAAATGGTTGAGACACAAAACCACCTAGCAAAAGACATGTATTATGAGTCACCAGATCTGGGCCTATCATAGGCTTCTCTTCGGGTGCTGCACTGAAGACATATTTGAAATAACATCATTTTTCCTGTCCCAGGGGGGAGGAATGCAACAGAGCACCTCAAAGCTGCCTTGCAGTGGATCAGACCACTGGCCCATCAAGAGCAGTATTGTCTACTCAGACTGGCAGCAGTTCTCTAATGTTTCAGGCAGAGAAAGGTCTTTAGCATTTTATTTATTTTTTATCTATTATCAGATTTATACCCCGCCCTCCCAGCCGAGGCCGGCTCAGGGCGGCTTACATAAGAGAATAAAAACACACAAGTAAGCAATTTAAATAATACTAAACATTCTAACATTAAAAGGTGCTACCATTAATAATACTAATAAGTTATTAGATGATTAACTGATGGCGGCCAACCCTCAGTATCCCCATCCCAGCAGTCAGCCCATCACCTACTGCCAGACCGTTAACTGGAAGGACAGGGACTGAACCTAGGACTCTCAGCATGCCAAGCAGAGGCTCTTCCACTGAGCCATGGATCCTCTCCATTCATCACTAAATGGAATGATATAATCCATTGGAGACAGGTAGCCTTCATGTAGAGAAGAGGCGGGCAAAATGTTGGATCTAAGCTCACCAAGTGACTTAGGCGCGCAAAGAATTGCAGGAAGCCTGGTGGACAATAGAGCAGAGATTAAAGGATCTTGATCACCAGAGACTTTGTCAGTAGAAGATGTCAAGGATGGAGCTTGGCCTCTTGTACATGAACAAAAGATGTGCAGAACCCTGAGACATCACGTTAAGTGAAGGCGGGAAAGAAACGTGACTCAGGGATCTTACAGCAAGCCTGTTATTACCCCCAGAATGTTGTCCGATTGGACAGCAGAATTCATAATGTTTTGTTTTGTTCTGTTTTGTTTTTTGCATGTTTGTTTTGTTTTTATTAACTCCTAGTATGGACTAGGTTAGGCTAACATGATTGATCCAAAATAAAGGAACAGATTTATCATGCAGATCACCAGTATAGGCATTAAGATACGTTCATTAAGATACCACAGTGCATTAAGATACATTCAAACAGAATAGTAGAAAGGTCATAGTGACCTGTTGATTCATAAACTAATGAGAAAGTGCAGTATAGAAAAAAACTGCATCCCATCCAGGTTTATTTTAGATCATTAATACTCTACATCGGTTAAATAAAGAGTAAGCAGTATTTGACCTGTAGGCCAACAGGAACAATACAGATGACCCATGGAATCAAGCATATCATTATTAAGGGATTGTAGCAGAGGATGCAACAAGAGCCATTAATTATAGCTTGCCCGTCAGACACCTTGTCTATTGGGGCAGCTGTTTTGAGAAGAAAAAACATATGCTGTCCATTAAAAAGAATTGTAAGGAGTCTATCCTACTCCCTAACCTGGACTCAAAGAGTCTTATAACACCTCATCTTTTTCCTTTCTTTTTTTAAGCCTCACTAGAACCCTGCAAGGATTTGTGAGTTGTAGTAGGTGCCGCAGCAACCATGGGCGTCAATGTCGATAGGCCCGAGATCACAACGGGATCAAGCTTCAGAGTCTAAATCGATGTAAATGGTTTCAGTTTCACAGTTGAAGTGTTTATCTTCCTGCCTTTTGGATTTATGCTGTTTCTTGATGGGCTTCCCAGGATCTCCCTGAGCTGAAGGCTTTTGAGGGACAGGGGATGAATGGGAAGCCGCAGAAGACATAGTGGGGTGGAGCGCAGCCTCTAAAAGTATAGTCCTGAGGTGAGCCGCTCTGTTGCTTGTCTGGTAAACTTAGCACAGTGCAGGCACGAATCAACCCGGTGAAATTCCCCCAGACAAATTAGATTAAGGTCGTGACCATCGTTAGAGGGGAGTTTACCAGGGCATCGGCAACAACTCTTAAAAAATAAGGTGTGACCCATACAAATACCTTCTCGACCAGGGAAAGGGAGGGGAAGGGGAGAAAGAGGTGAGAGAAAATAGTAAAGGTTTTTTTGGGGGGTTTAGATAGCAGGACGAAGAAGTAATGAAGACAAAGGATAAGCAAGGAAAAACAAGAAAAAGACGACAAAAGAAAACTCAGCTGAGGCAAATGAAGAGCGATCGCTGGAGAGGTGTGGACGCAAAGGTGGTCGAAGAAGAACTGAGTGGGAGGTGGCTCTTTGCCCTGCTCCAGGCATGCGCAGTGCGTGTCTGCTCCCCAGGGCGGGAAGAGAACCTGCCAAAAGATTTCTGAGGCAAGCTCTGGAATATTCTTCGCTTGAGGTAGTGCACAGGTGCCCAACCCATGTGTGGGACTGCACAGAGACCACGAAGAAGGTCAATGGCAGCCAAGGAGTCCTCCAATTCATTGACGGTTCTGAAGGATACCATGGAACTGAGAGGAGTGGCAAACAACTTAGGCTTGCCTCCCAAAGCATACTTGCCAATTACTTCTGAGTTCCCCATGAAGATGGCAACAGTAAGCCTTGCCTGTGCTTGAAACAACACCTGTATTGAAAAGCCCTGTAGGGTTAAGTATCAGTGCTGGGAGACTGCAGCAAGGTGGTGGATTGAGGCTGCTGTGTTACTGTGTCAGCCTTTAAAACTAGATTTTAGGAATAAGGCTTGGAGTAGAGCTCAGCAGAGAAATGATTATGACCTTGGAACACGGGCAGTCCCAATATTGGCAAAATAAAGCACAGCAGAACTTAAGCATAAGTAATCTGTTGTCTCAGGACATTTATTTATTTATTTATACATTCGATTTTTATACCGCTCCAACCCCGAAGGGTCTCTGAGCGGTTTACACACAGATTCCAAGTTCTAAGGCCACATAGTACACTAGGGACGGGGCTGCCTACCGGCACCCAGGTGGCAGGGCTTGCTGTTCTTGGACATGGCTAACAACAAGGGGAAACTCCACCCACTTCAGCCAGTCTTCAAAACTACAGAAGCTGAAGAGGTCCAAACAACCCCAACCAAATGGCACAATA